TACTGAGCATGATGCTCTGTGATACGGAATATCCCTTTGGGTGTTCAGGTCAGCTGTCTTGGCTGTGTTCCCTCCCAGCTTCTCGTCCCCCTTCTCACTGGCAGTGAATGGGAGACTGAAAAGTCCTCAATCAAGGTAAGCACCACTTAGCAACAACTAAAACATTGGTGTGTTATCAGCATCATTCCAGACTAACACCAAAACACAACACTGCACCAGCTACTGGGGAGAAAGTTAACGGTATCCCAGCCAAAACCAGGACACTCTTCCATCACAGAAAGGTACTGTAGAAAGATGCCTTTTTTGTACATTGTGCCTGGCCAGCATGGGACAGCAGCCCTGGACAACTCAGGTCCATGGGGTGACAAGGTGGAAGAGACAACAGTTTTGATTAGAAGCTGGTAAAGGTGATATGGCAAATAGCATTCCTCTGTTTTTCTCTGAAAGCTCTGAAAGGGGAAGAGAGCATGTGGTTGTTGGAAGAATGAAAATAATCAGATGGCAACCTGCTAAGGCTGGTCATGGATTAGGAACCAGCAGCTAAGCCCAAAAGCAAATAACCCGGATTCCCTATAGCTAACAGTGCTACATGCCCTGACCACCCCTGTCACGCTGATACTTCCCTACCTGTGAGCCAGCAAGGCTGTCCTGCCGCGAGCTGCCTTTGCAGGGCTGTCCTGACTGCCTGCAGAGTGTGTCTGTACAAGGTCCTGTTCCCATGAGCAGAAGAGGAAACACAGGCAGCACTTGAGCCTGTTGGTCTGACAGGGATTAGGAGCTTTCTGTCTGCTCCAGCCCCATGTCTCTGCAGAGGGACGTGCCATGGCTGTCCTCAGCCAATGTGGCAAAACAGCCTCTGCAGGGTTAAAGCCCAGCTTGTCAGTCCAAGTGATGACAAGCTGAAAAGAAAATAGAAGGAAGGAGTCATTAATTAAAGTGAGAAGCTGGGAGCGAGACTGCTGAATGTTAATCAGTCTGGAGAGGAGGTTGTGTGGAAAGCAGCAATCAAGCTCTTTTCAGCTTTAATTAAACCTGTCTGTGTCAAGGACATGGCACCTTTTCTTCACCTTTGCGTTTGAGCTGAGAAACCAGTCACAACATGTATGCTGTTACTGGGCAGACAGGAATTCCCTCCTGGCTGGAGCCTCCCCAGCCTGGCCTCGGCATCTGCCCTTCCCACTCACATGCTCCTCAAAACTGGGGCTTAGCACCAGCCAGAGCTTAGGCATGGGAGCTGATCATGGCAGATGCTTGCTATGCTAAATGCATCTTCTCAGAGGTCTTCTCTCTGTCCTGATGTATTAAGGTGGGCTTCACCCCAATGTGCAGCAGTCAGTCCCAGCCTGATCTGCTCCCTTTGCAAGCTGGGACCAGAAGGAGCAGGATTAGGGGAGAGCAACAGCATGTAGGCAAGAACAGACAGTGTCCGGCTGTGCTGGCATCGCTGCTCCCAACTGCTGTTCCCTTCTCTCTCTCCAACGCTTTGGTCTGTGAAGTGAGTCCTCACCCACAAACATGATGTGTATGCATTTGTGTTACCCAGAGGCTGCTTGAGGCCATGACAGCTGACCGCCAGCCATGGTGTCACATACAGGGACACCTTCCACTAGAGCAGGTTGCTCCAAGCCCCTGTGTCCAACCTGGCCTTGAACACTGCCAGGGATGGGGCAGCCACAGCTTCTCTGGGCACCCTGTGCCAGCGCCTCAGCACCCTCACAGGGAAGATATTTTTCCTCATGTCTAATCAAAATCTACCCTCAGAAACAGGGACGGGAGGTGAGGGAGGCGCAGAGTGCAGAAAGCAACATTGAACGCTTGAATGGAAAAGACAAATCATTCCCAGTGCAGCACTTTGGCTGGCCTCTCCATGGGAAGGGGCATCCTTAGAGCTGAGCTCTAGTGAGGCGTGCAGCAGCTTCAGCAAAGATTAGAAATATCACATCACCTGGGAATTTTAAGAGTGAGGAGGACAAAGCAATATAGGAAGATTTCCACAAGCAGGAGCAGGGGACAGAAAGAGAAACGAAATAAGGGGGGAGGCTCATGGCTCTGCTCATGCATATCACAGCTCTGCGAGCTCCTTACTGCCTGACGTTCAGGGCACTATGGGTGCAGATCTGCCTCCACATGAAGAGTTCACACTCTGGAGCCACACAGCACTAATTAAATGCCATATGTAATTAAGGAAAAGGAGGGCTGTAGCAGCCATGTAACGTCTACTGTAAATATTGATCCGGGATGGTGGCAAGTCTAATGATTTGCGGCTGAGGCATCTCAGAGCTGCTGCAGGGTTGTGGAGGAGGTGGCTGAGGAGCTCTGTGGGGCTTGAGCTCAGTGTAAGGGGTCTGTGTGAGTGAGTTCATCTCTTTCACTGCCAACAGAAAATCATCTCAGTGGGGATGAGGTGTGGGCCTGATGATCCTGGCCTCTCGTGTAGGAAAGTGAAGCCCCCTGAGATACAGTCAGAAAGTGTGATGCTAACAGATTTCTCCTTCACCTCTCACCACGGAGGACCTTCCATGGGCTGGTCCCTTTCCCTTCTTCAGGGCTTGCCTGTCCAAGTAAAGCAGTCCTTTCTTACCTTCACGGTCTCTCAGGTGATCTTTGTTCCCTTTCTAGGACTTTTCCCTGGTCTTGTCCTACAGTGTCACCAAAAATCTCCCAGTCCACAGGACTGAGGCTCAGGGGCTATGTTTGAGCTGGCAGACAAGGCAGGATCTGTCCTGCTTCCACTCGCAAGTCAGGTGGCATCATACATCCTGTGTCCCCATGGTGAAGCTGTCTCATCGCACAGATGTGGCTGCAGTGACCTGCAGCACATAGGCTTGGCACACTGGGGAGGCCGAGTACCCTACTTGGTTGCCCTCTCCTCACCACTCATGTCATGAGTAAGGGACCAAATGGGAGCTGCATGAAGTCAGCCACATGCCCAGACCTCGGCATTGGAGCAGTGCAAATCCCACTGGCTTCCTTGCTGCACTGATCAAAGGTCTTGCTTGGATGGTGCATTTCTGGCTTCTCTGGCAGCCTGATGATGCAGAAAAACACTGGAGAAAGCTGCCCTGGGGCTGGGGTCCACCACAGGCAAGTGATGCTCACCCAGCTCTGGAGCAGAATGACACTGCGGGTAGGGGAGAAGGCTCCTGCCAAAACTGGGGTGCTCTGCCAGCACACTGCTTCCCACCTCCCTCATGACCTTTTGTTCTCCCTTCTGCCCTCTGCTTCTAGCCCCTCACTTTGCCCTGCCTTCCCACCGCTGCTTTCTGCCCCTCTGGATGGCTCCTCCCAGCCCCACACATTTCTCTTTTGTATTACCCCCACCCCCTCATCTCACCATCCCTCCTTTTCCCTCTTTCTGCTGCTGCTTCCCTCTCCTACAACTTCCTCTTGAACACCAAGTCTCTCTCGACTTTCTCTCGTGTTTTTAAGACATAGATCTTAAAATGCTCAGCTTTTCCTCTTCTGCAACACTTCTGCAATGCCTGCAAAGTCAAACAAAACCAATACTGCCCTGCTAGTAAGTTGGGAGCACCAGACTGTGGTCATACAGCCTCCACCACCTAAAACCCAACCTGCAGTGCCCCATGCAGGGCAGAGATTGTATCGAGCACACAGAAAATGTGGCAGGAAAGGAAATTACCAGGGTTTATTAAGGTCAAGCAGGGAAGAAATTCCAGCACCTTCAGGTAGAAAGGGGCACTGAGGAGACAAGATTGAACTAAGTGCACATGGGTGTTCTGGGCCTGTTTCTTTCTCCTTTGCCTCACCACAGCTGTCCCCTGGCTCTTCTTGCAGCTTGGCTCCTTTCTTCTGCTTTGGTGACAGCCATTGTTTCTCTCACAATCATCATCATCATGTGGAAAAAACTTGTCTGGCCGAGGCAGTAAACCGCACACATGGGGCCAACATCACTTTAACATCACTGCTCAAAGAGAAACAGGTCCTTCAGCCCCAGAAGGAAGGGATGAAGCTCTGAGTAGCAAGCAAAGATCAAAGAGGAGGCAGCAATCCCCCGGGAACCTGCAAAATGCAAACAGAAAGTAAGCAGAGGGGCAGATCAGGTGGAACAATGTGGGGAAAGGAGGAGTTACTTGGTTTGTTTAGGAAGAACTGAAGATGGCTATTGGGATCTATTTCTGAACTGCAAGCAGAACTATGAATTGGGACAGTGTCCTGCAGGATCTGCTTGCAAGAGCTAAAGCCACCTGGGACAGAGCTCCAGAGGACAGAAGTATCCTCCAGTGAGTATTTCTGGTGGGGCAGGGTAGAGAGAAGAGGCTGGACAGATGGTCTGTTCCTCCTTGAACTTCAGAGAAGCCGCACGTGCAGAGGGGAGGCACACAGAGGTGTCAGCACACAAGCCTTTCCATCCTTCACCTGCTGTGGCATAAAGCATTTGAGTATGACTAATGACTGCTGCAGAGTTTGCATCACTGAGCTGTTGGCACAGATGGCTGACTTCCTTGTACATCAGACAGTGTGGCAAAGGCCATTTGGTCTGGATGTAGGGACTAGGGAATGGGATGGAGGTGGACAAGGGTTGCCCATGAAAAAAGAAGCGCATGTGGGCAGGGAACAGTGTGTCACTGCTTGGGGCTGC